AGCGGGAAGAAGCAAGGCTTATTGGAAAACCTGATGGAAAGATAGAAGTGGGGTCAGAGGTTGGGGGAACCAGGCTAGAAGTTTCTGGGTGGTAATTAATGTTTCAGAGGAGGAAAGAAGAGGAGAAAGCCTTGGGATATCCTTGAGGAAGTCCAATTGGAGATGGAAGATGAGCCACAGAGGAGGTAGGAGGGAACAGGCCTATCTGGGATGTCAGCTGGGTGAGTGGCTTCCTGAAAAGTAAAGAAAGAGTGTCAGAAGAAGGAATTTCTAGAAGTTATGGTGGAGTGATTGAGTTGGTGGAGATGAGAAAATGAGCCAATTCTAGACTCTTGAGAAGTCTGTGGAAGTGAGAGGAGATTGGCTGTGAGGAAGGCAGGTGTCAAAGGTTTTCGTTTTGCTTTTCTTTCTTGACAATTTTCATATTGATATAATTTTATACCTTCAAAAAATTGCAAGACTAGTACAAGGAACTCACAAATAACACTTTCCAGATTCATCAATTGTCTACACTTGCCCCATTTACTTTATCATTCTCTCTCTCTCTTATATATATATATATATATATATATATATATATATATACTGCAGACATCATGTCTCCCTAACACTAAATATTTGAGTGGTATTTCCAAAGAATAAGGATATTCTTTTACACACCAGGTTTTATTGAAAATGGGAGTGATTTGGGCCTGTTGAAAAGTGTAAGTGAAGATCCAGTGGAACAGAAGCCAGAGAAGGGATTATCGTCTCCGAAGGCTTCTGGAAAAGTCCAGAGAGTGGAATCTAAAGCCCAGGTGGAGTGGTTGGCCTTTGCCACACAAGGGACAGCTCCCTGTTTTACGGAGAGGTAAAGCAGTGTGCGGACGTGGGAGCCTTTGTTATGTTGATAGAGCTGAAGAAGTTCCTCTGTGCTGGCTTCTGTTTCCCTTGTCAATTAGGAAATGAGATGATATGCTGAAAAGAGGAGGAAGGTATGTGAGTGATGGAGAGGGTCTGAGTTGAAGAAGAGTGGAGAAAATATGAAAGAGTCGAGGAGGGGGTTGAGAGGAAGTTATGAGATAAACATCTCAGGATCCATTTAGCCAGATAGCCCATTCCAGGTGGGTGCTCAGACACTTAGAGAGAGCCAGTCTGCCCTGACCTGTTTGATGACTCTCATGTCCAGCACACAGAAAATAGGGAGATAGTTGAGGTCGTCTAGGCTGAATTTTGCCAAAGGAGTGTGATGAAAAGACAGAATGGGCAGGGCAGGGAAGTTCAGGGTATTAACAAGACTGTGAACCATAGAATCTACTGGAAAAGAATGAAAGAAGCAACATGGCTATAGGATGGGAAGTAGAGGGGCAAATGGGCTGGTGGTTGGCTGGGAAGAGAGGAGCCTGTGATTTGTTTTTTAATTATTACTGTTTTACTTATTGGAGCTAACCATCATGAGCACAGAGACTGTACTAAGTATTTTACATGCATTAATTTAATATAATCCTTATGACAACCCTATGAGGTAAGCATAGTAATCAAGCCATTTTTATAGATGAGGAAATTGAGGTTAAGTGACTTGCCCAAGGTGACAGCTAAAAAGTGAGAGCAGTCTCTCCAACTCCAGAGCCCCTGCACATCTCTGGACATTTTTGCAGAGCTTCTTAGCTGTGTTCCTTACTTCACGTTTACCCTCCTCTCATTTGTCTTTCACTCAGCTGACAGAGTGAGCCTTTGAAGATGCAAATTGATTATATCATACACATCCCCTCAGAAGCTTTCATTATATCAATTTTTAAATGGAAATATGTATAAAAATAAGTGAATTGATGGATGAATAGAGAGTTGGATAGCTGGTTATCTGATAAAGAAAATCATAGTAAAATGTTAATTATGAAATCTAGGAAAAGGCCATATGTGACAAGCCCACAGCTAAGATTAGGAACAAGAGAGTGATGCCTACTTTTGCCACTTCTATTTAACATAGTACTGGAAGTTCTAGCCAGAGCAGTTAGGCAAGAAAAAGAAGTAAAAGGCATCTCTATTGGAAAGGAAGAAGTAAAACTGTCACTGTTTGAAGATGACATGATATTATATATGGAAAACCGTAAAGACTCCATCAACAAACTGTTAGAATAAACAAATTCAGCAAAGTTGCAAGATACAAAATCAACACACCAAAGTCGGTTGCATAATGAACTATCAGAGAGAGAAATTAAGAATACAGCCCCATTTACAATTGCATCAAAAATAATAAAATAGGGCTTCCCTGGTGGCGCAGTGGTTGAGAGTCCGCCTGCTGATGCAGGGGACGCGGGTTCGTGTCCCGGTCCAGGAGGATCCTGCATGCCGCGGAGCGGCTGGGCCCTTGAGCCATGGCTGCTGAGCCTGCGCGTCCGGAGCCTGTGCTCCGCAACGGGAGAGGCCACAACAGTGAGAGGCCCGTGTACCGCAAGAAAAATAAAATAAAATAAAATAAAATAAAATACCTAGGAATAAGTTTTTTTCTTTTTCTTTTTAAAAGATTTTTGTTTTTACCTAGGAATAAATTTAACCAAGAAGGTGAAAGACCTGTGCAGTGAAAACTACAAGACATTAATGAAAGAAATTGAAGAAGACACAAATAAATGGAAAGATATTCTGTGCTCATGGATTGGAAGAATTAATATTACAGTGTCCATGCTACCCCAAACAATATACAGACTCAATGCAATACCGATCAAAATTCCAATGACATTTTTCACAGTAATAAAACAAACAAAAAAAAATTTTGAAGTATGAAAGATTCTGAATAGCCACAGCAATCTTGAGAAAGAACAAAGCTGCAGGCATCATGTGCCCTTATTTCAAACTATATTACAAAGCTATAATAATTAAAACAGTAGGGTGGCATAAAAACAGACACATAAATCAGTGGAACAGAATAGAGAGCTCAGAAATAAACCTATGCATATATTAATTAATTTATGAGAAAGGAGACAAGAATGTCCAATGGTGAAAGGACAATCTCTTCAATAAATAGTGCTAGGAAAATTGACAGCACATGCAAAAGAATGAAATTGGACCACCATACACAAAAATTAACTCAAAATGGATTAAAGACTTGAGCTTGAGACCTAAAACTGTAAAAATCCTAGAAGAAAATAGAGGTGATAAAGTCCTTGACATACATCTTTTTAAAAAATTATTTATTTATTTATTTTTGGCTGCATTGGGTCTTCGTTGCTTCTTGCGGGCTTTCTCTAGTTGTGGTGAGTGGGGGCTACTCTTCATTGCAGCGCGCTAGCTTCTCATTATGGTGGCTTCTCTTGTTGTGGAGCACGGGTTCTAGGTGCAGGGGCTTCAGGAGTTGGGGCTTGCAGGCTCTAGAGTGCAGGCTCAGCAGTTGTGGCGCACGGGGCTTAGTTGCTCTGTGGCACATGGAATCGTCCCAGACCAGGGCTCGAACCCATGTCCCCTGTATTGGCAGGCAGATTCTTAACCACTGTGCCACCAGGGAAGTCCCTTTGACATAGGTCTTGATGATGATTTTTTGAATCTGACACCAAAACCAAAAGCAACAAAAGCAAAAATAAACAGGTGGGACTATATTAAACTAAAAATCTTTTGCACAGCAAAGGAAACCATCAACAAATGAAAAGGCAACCTACTGAATGTGAGAAAGTATTTGCAAATCATATATCTGATAAGGGGCTAATATCTAAAATATATAAAGAACCCATACAACTCAATAGCAAAAAAACAACCAATCCAATTAAAAAATGGGTAGAAGATATGAGTAGACATTTTTTCCCAAGAAGAAATATGGATGGCCAACAGGTACATGAAAAGATGCTTTACATCATTAATCATCAGGGAAATGCAAATCAGAACCACAATGAGATATCACCTCACACCTGTCAGAATGGCTAATATCAAAAAGACTGGTGGTCCTGGGCTTCCCTGGTGGTGCAGTGGTTGAGAGTCCGCCTGCCGACGCAGGGGACACGGGTTCATGCCCCAGTCCGGGAAGATCCCACATGCAGCGGAGCGGCTAGGCCCGTGAGCCATGGCCGCTGAGCCTGTGCGTCCGGAGCCTGTGCTTCGCAACGGGAGAGGCCACAGCAGTGAGAGGCCCGCGTACCGCAAAAAAAAAAAAAAAAAGACTGGTGGTCCAGTGGTTAAGACTCTGCGCTTCCAATGCAGTGTTGCAGGTTTGATCCCTGGTCAGGGAACTAGGACCCCACAGGCCACAGGGCGTGGCCAATAAATAAATAGAGACTAGAAATAACAAGTGTTGGCATAGATATAGAGAAAATGGAAAACTCATGGCAATGTAAATTGGTGCCACTATAGAAAAGTGTGGAGGTTCCTCAAAAAGTTAAAACTAGAACTACCATATGATCCAGGAATTCCAATTTTGAGTATTTATCCAAAGAAAACAAGAACACTAATTAGAAAAGATATATGCACCCCCATGTTCATTGCAGCATTATTTATAATAGCCAAGATAGAAAAACAACCTAAGGGTCCATTGATGGATGAGTAAATAAGGAAGATGTGATATATATGTACAATGTAATATTATTCAGCCATAAAAAAGAATGAAATCTTGCTATTTGCAACAACATGAATGTCCCTGAGACCATTATAAGTGAAATGAGCCAGAGAAATACAAATACTTTATATTAGGCTTATAGATACAGAGAGCAGATTGGCGGTTGTCAGAAGTGGCGGGGGGAGAGTGGTGGAAGAAATGGGTGAACTGTTTTTGGTTTTGTTTTGGTGTTTAAGTAAATTGAGTAAGAATAAAGAAATCTAGGCAGTAGCTATATGGATGGTCATTGTATTAAATTCTTTCCACTGTCCTTTGTTTGAAATTTTTCATGTAAAATATTGGGAGGAAAGAGCCTTAATTGGAAAAAAAAAAAAAAAGTACATAGTTCCTTGGAAGTCCAGTGGTTAGGACCTGGCACTTCACTGCCATGGCCTGGGTTCAGTCCCTGGTTGGGGAACTAAGATCCCGCAAGCCACATGGTGCGGCCAAAAAAAAAGAAAAAGAAAAAAGTAAATGAAATTAAACTGCTTCTTATACATGGACCCTGACTGAGTTGTTTTTGTAGATTTGTAAGAATCTGTAGAGCAATGGCTGCTTTCTCTTGGTAAGCAGGTATTTATGTACTGAGAAACTTCTTGTGCCTGCAGTCACAAGGCATAGATTGTGTAATTAAAGCACCTTTAATAGAAGAAAATAAGCACTTCTAGAGAAGGAAATTGAACCACATATCAAAAGTTTTGGGGCAAAGGATAATCATTGCATTCTACTTGGCCAGCCTAGGTAGTTTCAGATCATTAGAAGGGTCTCACCTGTCCCTATTATTTGATTTCTCCTGTACAAATTCATTGAATCCAAAATAATGTTTTACATGCACAGGTACTTATTTTGTAATAAACAGGATTCTGCCTTTCAGTAGATTGTTTTTTTCTTTTTTTTGTTCAAATAACCAGTTTGTGATGTATTTGACATTTAATATAAGTGATTATAAAAGAAAAGATAGATATCACATCAAGGTGCTATTTGTTTTCAAAAAGGATTCCTTTTGTTCCACGTCATTAATAACGACTTCTGTTGCTGGCTGATTTCAATGCAACTTTGTAGGCAAGCAGGATACGTGGCTGTCATTTATTAACCTGTTTGTTCCCTTCCAGAAACCTCCAGAGCAGTGTTTGGTAAGATGAGGGCAGAAGGAGGAGCCACAGATGCCTGCAGCAGAGGTGTTTGCTGAAACTTCGGGCTTGGTTGGCTAAAATAGCAGTGTGCAAAGACAGGATGTTCTTGCTTCTTTGGGAATCTTGATCACCTCACTCCTTCCAGAAGCAATCAGCTGATGTCTTGGCTCACTGTCTGCCTGAGCGAATGTCCACAACAGCATGTGACTGGGTGTCCTCAAATGAGAGGTGTCTTGCCAGGTCTCTCTGTTGATTTGTTTTTATACCTCCTATCTTTGCTTGATCAGGTGGTAGTTTGGGCTGCAGTCGGGAGGCTCTGGAGCTGGGTTCATCCTAGGTTGGTACTTTCTGGACGGGTTTCCTTGGGCTAGTTACTCTACTTCTTCTGTGTTTGGGGCCGACTATCTGACTGTAAATGTGGGTAATAATAAGATTACCTGCTTCATAGGGCTGTTGCAGATGAAGCTCTTAGCACAATGCCTGGCAACCAAAAAGCACTTAATAAATGTTAACTACTCGTATTATTATACTGCTTATGTTATTCTGAAATTGCTTCTGTCATTCAGACATAGATCTTTCAAGTTCTGACTGTCATTTTAACAGCTGGATAATATCCCATAATTTGGAATACTGCCTCCTCCCAAACCTATCCTTCTCCGGTCTGCTCTCACTCAGTTGATAATACAACCCTGTCACTGAAGCCACCACTCTTTGTTGACTTCTGGTTCCTCTTTAGCCCTTTTATCCATTCAGTTATTAAGTTCGACTCTTATTTCTGTTCCTAAATATCTTCTTAGTCTGTCCCCTGCTCTTGGCTGCTAGTGCCCTGCCCTCATTCACATGCTCTTCCTCTCTCACTGGGACCACAACAGTTGTCTGAATTCCTGTCGCTCCTGAGATTGCCTGCTGTCCAGCTGCCAAATCTGCAGATCTGACCATGTGTCTCCTCTGCATGGTACATGGTGGCCTGTGGTAGTCACAGGGTGTGGTGTTGACCATAGTAAGATTTACTGATGACAACTTAAGAGGCAGAGAGTAGCAGAGGGTCCAGGATCTCTCCAGGCCCATAATTATTTTACAGAGAGGTGGGCAGGGCTGGATGTACTGCAAAGAGCCCTCCAGCCCACAGGTAGACATCAACCAGGAGGGATAAGGGACACCTAATTTTTAACAAGAAATGTCCAAAACTCTCAACACCTCTTGCCAGTTATGGTTGCCCAAGCTGGTTCCTCTGGGGTTCATACTGTCCCCTGGCCATGGCCTGCCCCACACTTGGGGACAGCCTCCTCCAGAAAGCCTTACTGCCCCTCTCTGGGTGCCTCTTCATCTTATCATGGTGTTAGCACTGTCTGTCTCTGTGTTTGGATCATCCCAACCTGAGCAACTCAAAGGAAGTGTCTATCACATTCATCTTTGCATCCCTGGGGCCTGGCATGTTAACAGTTGTCTGAAGGCCACAGAAGAAGATGCAAATCACCTGTAATTTCACTACCCAGAAATTAAACCACTGAGTTAATTATCACTGGAATTAATTTGGGATATACCCTTCTAGACTTTTTTTTTCTAGCTATAGGTCTGTATATTTCATACACACACATCCCACACACGATATTTTATAAAATATGGATCAAACCCTACCTATAGTTTTTAAATCTTTTTCCATTTACTATATCATGGACAGTTTCCCATCTCATTAAATATTTGTGTAGTCCTTGGATTATAGTGCTAAACAGTATTTCATCCTTATCAGACATGCAGTTCACTTTCCAGCTGAAATGATTCATGGTTTCTTTCTGTGCTGAGAGTTATTTGTTTCTCATGATGAAGAAACATGGTAAACAAATACTGGGTCTAAAGCAAAGACAAGGAAGACCATTAATAACAGGAAAGTAAAGCAAAGACAAGGAAGACTGTTAGTAACAGGAAAGTAAATTATTTTGGTTCTACTGTTTTTTGGCCTTTAAGGTGCTTTAAGCCATGGCTGTAATGGAGGCTCCTCTTATGCAATACCTTCTGTATTGAATTGTTTTATATTTTCCATGGCAGGACTATGGCAAATCAGGAAGCCACTCCAGGAAGCCAATCAGAGGAGAGCAATGCTTTGGACCTGCCATCAGCTTATGACATAAGGGATTACGTGTTGCAGAGACCCAGCCAGGAGGCCAACAGTGAGGCTTTTAGTTCTGAGGAAGCCTTTTCTATTCCTTGCTCTTCTGATACAGATCCAGGTAAGAAGCACAGTTTAAAACAAACTAACATTGAACAAACAAAAAAATCCTGACATATACCTATATGTGATAGTTTGTTTCTCTGTCTTCCAAAGGCAGATCTCTGAGAAATCACTCATTGTCTCGGGGAGAAAAACATCTTATCTAAGCAAAACTGTTGGGAGAGACTTCAAAGGACAGCCTCCCTGGTGGAACCAGGACAAGGAGCTGTTTCCTGGAGGCCTTTTTGTCTGAGTCCCTTTCTGATCTCCATCCAAATCCATTTAGAGGCAGGGAGCACTTGGTTCACTGGGAGAGGGTAGAATTGTTTTTTTTGTTTTGTTCTTTTAAAACTTCAGAAAATAGCCATGTGGGCCTGTTGTGTGTCATAGGGACTTTAGTGTTCCTCTTATGAAGTATACTCTGGATTTAGGTAACAACTTTTCTGTAAGTTCCCCTGACCGAATTGCCGAAAAGTCTGTTTTTTAAGTTTAATGATAATTCTTTGACGTAGTTAGTGACCATCTCTGGTTGTAAAGCCCATCTCCTCCCTGTTTATTGCCTAATCCAGGCCTGTAGGTCCACATATTCAAAGCTTTGCCACTTACTGGTTGTGTGACTCAGGTCATATTTCTTAACCCCTCTGAGTTCCAGAATCAGCTACAAAATGGGGATCAAAATGCTTGCTTCATGGAGTAGGTTTAACTCAGGGAACAGTGCAGGGGCACATCATAGTGTTTGCCATACATTGGTGCTCAGGCAATTGCTATTACAGTATTCTGGTGCTATTATTATTGTTGTTGTTGTTGTTAATATTAAGAAACCCAAATATATATTTTTAAAGAGCACGCAGGTACTAAGAAAATGTGGGCCTTGATGAAGATGAATTCAACATTGGCAGTAAGTAGGGTGTGCACCTGTCATTATCTTTAAGAATTCTATGAAAAAAAAAATACTTTTAAACTCCCTGATGATTCTTTTCTGATTTTCAGGACATAGTAATCAGGATCAGTCAGATTCCTGTTTAATTTAGTTCCAGAGCAAGAATTAGATCATTTCTTATCCTTTTTCTTTCTAGGCTCAGAATCTTAGTTCATTTAACCTTTCCTCTTCCCCTTCCCATCCTGCTGCCTCTACATTACTTTCCATCCCAAAGAAAGCAACTGTTATTAATTTGAATTGAGTTGACCATTGAAATATTTATATTGGAGTATTTGTTTAAAATCTAGACATTTCATGAAAAAAGATTCTTTTGGAAGCCCTTATAAAGGTCTAAACATGGGAAGGAGCACTCATATCCTGAGACAACCATTTTGCACGGCATGGGGAGTGGTGGTGCTGCATTTGACTGTCTAGTTTGAATTCTGGTTCTGCTTTTTTCTGTGGTTTTGCCTTGGGCAAGTCATTTGGCCTCCATGTCTTGGTTCCTTCATTTGTAAAATGGAGATAGTAATGCCTACCTTGTCACGGGGCAGCCATAATGAGGGTCAAAGTGTATGAGGTGTAATGCCTGGCATGTGGTGGGCTTTGGAAATCCAGCTCTTCATGAGTTCAGTGCCTGGGCACCTCAGCACACCACCACGCTGACCAGGCTCCATTTTTTTTTTAATTGAGCTATAATTTATGTGCAATATTATATGTTACATGTGTACAACATAGTGATTCACAATTTTTAAAGGTTATACTCCATTTATAGTTATTATAGAATATTGGCTATATTCCCTGTGTTGTATAATATATCCTTGTAGCTTATTTATTTTGTACATAATAGTTTGTACCTCTTAATCCCCTATGCCATCTTGCCCCTCCTCCCTTCTTTCTCCCCACTGGTAACCACTAGTTTGTTCTCTATATCTCTGAGTCTGTTTCTTTTTTGTTATACTCACTAGTTTGTTTTATTTATTTATTTTAATTTATTTTATTTTATTTATTTATTTAAAAAAATTTTTGGCTGCGTTGGGTCTTAGTTGCAGCACACAGGATCTTTGTTGAGACATGTGGGATCTTTCGTTGCAGCGGTTGGGCTCTTCATTGCGGTGCTTGGGCTTCTCTCTAGTTGCGGCCTGTGGGTTTCTCTCTAGTTGTGGTGTATGAGCTTCTCTCTAGTTGTGGCGCACAGGCTCCAGAGCGCATGGGCTCTGTAGTTTGTGGTACATGGACTCTCTAGTTAAGGCGCGCAAACTCAGTAGTTGTGACGCGCAGGCTTAGTTGCCCTGTGGCGTCTTAGTTCCCCGTCCAGGGATCGAACCTGCATCCCCTGCATTGGAAGGCGGATTCTTAACCACTGGACCACTAGGGAAGTCCCTAGTTTATTTTTTAGATTCTACATGTAAGTGGTCTTACTTCTTTAACTTAGCATAATACCTTCCAAGTCCATCCCTGTTGTTGCAAATGGCAAAATTTCATTCTTGTTTATGGCTGAGCAGTATTCCATTGTGCGTATGTGTGTGTGTGTGTGTGTGTGTGTGTGTGTGTGTGTGTGTGTATACCACATCTTCTTTATCCATTCATCTGTTGATGGACACTTAGGTTGTTGCCATATCTTAGTAATTGTAAGTAATGCTGCTATGAATATTGGGGAGCATGTATCTTTTTTAATTAGTGATTTTGTTTTTTTCAGATAGGTACCCAGGAGTGGAATTTCTGAGTCATGTGGTAGTTCTCCTTTTAGTTTTCTGAGAAAACTCCATACTGTTTTCCACAGTGGCTGCACCAATTTACATTCCCATCAACAGTGTATGAGGGTTCCCTTTTCTCCACATCCTCATGACAAGATCCATTAAATTCATGACCTCCTACCTCAAGTTGAGCCTCCTTGCTGCCCATCCATCACACACTATTTTCCTAGCATGTTCATCCTCCTGCCCTCTTGGATGACTTTGTAGTATCTTCTTCTCTCTTTGCAAACCCCCATTACCTCCTTCAACCTCTTTCTCAGCTGATAATCTTAGTTTCCTATTTAATCAAGAAAACAGAAGCACTCAAAAGAGAATGAGCACACACTCACACTTCACATCCGTCAGCTTCCTTCCCTCCTGTTTCTGTGGGAAACCCATCCCTGCCTGTCCTTCTCTTTCTGTCTGCTTTCACCTACTCAAGGTTGTCACTTCTAGTAATCTCCTGCATCGTTGATCCCACCTCTACTGGTCATTCTCATGATCATACAAACATGCTTTAATAGCTCCCATCTTAACAAAATGCCCACCCTAGACCCCAAGTCCCCATCTAGTTACAGACTCATTCCTCTGTTCTCTTCTACAGAAAACCCTCAGAAGAGTAATCTACACCTGTTGTCCCCAGTTCGTCTCCTCCCAGTTCCTCCTAAAACCCTCCAACATGGCTTCTATCTCCATCACTCCATGGAAATAGCTCTTGTCAAGGTCATGACCTCCACATTGTTAAATCCAGTAGTCACTTCTCAAGCGTTCTCCTTCTTGATCTGTCAGCAGCATTGACTTTTTTCCTTCTTGAATTATTTCTTCAGTGGGCTTTCTGGGAAGCAGCATCTTATGTTTTTTTTCTTACTTTTCTGTCTTATTTGTTCTCAGTCTTCTTTGCCTGATTCCTTCCTCTCCAGCCCCTTAGTGTTGGAGAGCCCAGGGCTGAGTCCTCAGCTCTCCTGTCTGTCATCACACCCTTCCCTGAGTGATCTTATCCAGTCTCGGGGCCTTAAATGCTCTCAGTACCCCGCTCAGTCCCAGATTTCTCTCTCTAGTTTGGATCTCTGGCTTGACATTTATACTATCTATGTATTTCACATCATCACTTAGATTTCTATTAGACTTCCTAAATTTGACATAACCAAATTCCTGATTCCTCTACCGTCTCATATATACATAGACACACCTGTTCTTTGAGGCTTTCTCATCTCAAAAAAGTACTTCCATCCTTCTGTTCACTTAGGCAGAAACCTGGGAGTCATCCTCAACTTCTTTCTTTCTCTTTAATCTCATATCCAGTCTATCAGCAAATCCTGTCAGCTCTCCTTTGTCTCCACTGCCACCACCCTGGTCCCTGCCAGTAGCATCTGTCTTCTGGATTATTGTTAATCTCATAACTAGCTTTTCTCACATCTGCTCTTTATCCTCCTATAGTTTCTTTTTTTAAAAAAAATTTATTTATTTCTATTATTATCTTTAATGGAATATATAAAAGCAGAGAAACTTCACTCATAAGTTGTGCTTTCACATATTCATATAGAAACTATATGGAAATACATATACATGGGCTTAGAAATATTTTACTTTTCATGCAGGAATTCCAGTTCTGTTAACCAAAACTAAAGAAATAATTCATAATAAAGATAAGCTTTGTGTATAGTGACATCTATAATTACAGTAAATTGTCACTAAATTAAACATTGAACAGGGACTTCCATGGTGGCGCAGTGGTTAAGAATCTGCCTGCCAATGCAGGGGACACAGGTTCGATCCCTGGTCCAGGAAGATCCGACATGCCACGGAGCAACTGAGCCCGTGAGCCACAACTACTGAGCCTGCACTCTAGAGCCTGCAAGCCACAACTACTGAGCCCATGCGCTGCAATTACTGAAGCCCACACTCTCTAGGGCCTGCGTGCTGCAACGACTGAAGCCCATGCACCTAGAGCCCATGCTCTGCAATAAGAGAAGCCACTGCAATGAGAAGACCGCACACCACAATGAAGAGCAGCCCACACTCACCGCAACTAGAGAAAGCCTGTGTGCGGCAACAAAGACCAAACACAGCCAAAATAAATAAATAAATAAACAAACAAATAATTAAATAATTGAATAATAATGGTTAACTAGGTACACCCAGTCAACTAAATATGAATATTCAAAAAATTGCATTTCTTCCTTTTTTTAAATTAATTTTTATTGGAGTATAGTTGCTTTACAATGTTGTGTTAGTTTCTGCTGTACAGCAAAGTGAATCAGCTATACGTATACATATATCCCCTCTTTAGGTCACCACAGAGCATTGAGTAGAGTTACCTGTGCTATACACTCAGTTCTTATTAGGTATCTATTTTATACATAATAGTGTATATATGTCAATCCTAATCTCCCAATTCATTCCACTCCCCTCTTTCGTCCTTGATAACCATACATCCATTCTCTCTGTCTGTCTCTATTTCTGCTTTGCAAATAAGTTCATCTGTATAATTTTTCTAGATTCCACATATAAGCAATATTATACAATACTTGTTTTTCTCTTTCTGACTAACTTCACTCTGTATAACAGTCTCTAGGTCCATCCACGTTTCTGCAGATTGCACAATTTCGTTCCTTTTTACGGCTGAGTAATATTGCATTATATATATGTACCACATCTTCTTTATCCATTCTTCTATTGATGGACATTTAGGTTGCTTCCAAGTTCTGGCTATTGTAAATAGTGCTGCAGTGAACATTGGGGTGCATGTGTATCTTTTTGAATTACAGTTTTCTCCAGATATATGCCCAGGAGTGGGATTGCTGGGTCATATGGTAGTTCTATTTTTAGTTTTTTGAGGAACCTCCATACTGTTCTCCATAGTGGCTGTACCAATTTACGTTCCCACCAACAGTGTAGGAGGATTCCCTTTTCTCCACATCCTCTCCAGCACTTATTGTTTGTAGATTTTTTGATGGTGGCCATTCTGACTGGTGTGAGGTGATACTTTACTGTAGTATTGATTTCCATTTCTCTAATAATTAGTGAGTGATGTTAAGCATCTTTTCATGTGTTTGTTGGCCATCTGTATGTCTTCTTTGGAGAAATGTCTATTTAGGTCTTCTGCCCATTTTTTGATTGGGTTGTTTGTTTTTTTGATATTGAGCTGCATGAGCTGTTTGTATATTTTGCAGATTAATCCCTTGTCAGTTGCTTAGTTTGCAAATAATTTCTCCCATTCTGAGGGTTTTCTTTTCGTCTTATTTGTGGTTTACTTTGCTGTGCAAAAGCTTTTAAGTTTCGTTAGATCCCATTTGTTTATTTTTGTTTTTATTTCCATTACTCTAGGAGGTGGATTGAAAAAGATCTTGCTGTGATTTATGTCAAAGAGTGTTCTCCCTGTGTTTTCCTCTAAGAGTTTTATAGTGTCTGGTCTTACATTTAGGTCTCTAATCCATTTTGAGTTTATTTTTGTGTGTGGTATTAGGGAGTGTTCTAATTTTATTCTTTTATATGTAGCTGTCCAGTTTTCCCAGCACCACTTATTGAAGAGACTGTCTTTTCTCCATTGTATATCCTCACCTCCTTTGTCATAGATTAGTTGACCATAGGTGTGTGGGTTTATCTCTGGGCTTTCTATCCTGTTCCATTGACCTATATTTCTGTTTTGGTGCCAGTACCATATTGTCTTGATTACTGTTACTTTGTAGTATAGTCTGAAGTCAGGGAGTCCGATTCCTCCAGCTCCATTTTTTTCCCTCAAGATTGCTTTGGCTGTTCAGGGTCTTTTGTGTCACCATACAGATTTTAACATTTTTTGTTTTAGTTCTGTAAAAAATGCCATTGGTAATTTGATAGGGATTGAATTGAATCTAGATTGCTTTGGGTAGTATAGTCATTTTCACAATGTTGATTCTTCCAATCCAAGAACACGGTATATCTCCATCTGTTTGTGTCATCTTTGATTGCTTTCATCAGTGTCTTACAGTTTTCTGAGTACAGGTCTTTTACCTCCTTAGGTAGGTTTATTCCTAGGTATTTTATTCTTTTTGTTGCAATGGTGAATGGGATTGTTTCCTTCTCTTTCTGATCATTCATTGTTAGTGTATAGGAATTCAAGAGATTTCTGTGCATTAATTTTGTATCCTGCAACTTTACCAAATTCACTGATTAGCTCTAGTAGTTTTATGGTAGAATCTTTATGATTCTCTATGTATAGTATCATGTCATGTGCAAACAGTGACAGTTTTACTTCTTATTTTCCAATTTGGATTCCTTTTATTTAGTTTTCTTCTCTGATTGCCATGGCTAGGAATTCCAAAACTATGTTGAATAAAAGTAGCAAGAGTGGACATCCTTGTCTTGTTCCTGATCTTAGAGGAGATGCTTTCAGTTTTTCACCATTGAGAATGATGTTTGCTGTGGGTTTGTCATATATGGTCTTTATTATGTTGAGGTAGTTTCCCTCTATGCCCACTTTCTGGAGAGTTTTTAATCATAAATGGGTATTGAATTTTATCAAAAGCTTTTTTTGCATCTATTGAGATGATCATATGGTTTTTATCCTTCAGTTTGTTAATATGGCATATCACATTGATTGATTTGCATATATTGAAGAATCCTTGCATTCCTGGGGTAAACCCCACTTGATCATGGTGTATGATCCTTTTAATGTGTTGTTGGATTCTGTTTGCTAGTATTTTGTTGAGTATTTTTGCATCTATGTTCATCAGTGATATTGGCCTCTAATTTTCTTTTTTTGTGACTTCTTTGTCTGGTTTTGATATCAGGGTGATAGTGGCATCATAGAATGAGCTTAGGAGAATTCCTCCCTCTGCAGGTTTTTGGAAGAGTTTGAGAAGGATAGGTGTTAGCTCTCCTCTAAATGTTTGATGGAATTCACCTGTGAAGCCATCTGGTCCTGGACTTTTGGTTGCTGGAAGATTTGTTTTTAATATTTATTTTATTTTATTTATTTATTGGTTGCTTGGGTCTTAGTTGTGGCTTGCTGGCTCCTTAGTTGTGGCATGTGGGCTCCTTAGTTATGGCACGTTGGTTCCTTAGTTGCAGCATGGTGGATCTTTTTTAGTTGAGGGATGCAAACTCTTAGTTGCGGCATGCATCTGGGACCTAGTTCCCTGACCAGGGATTGAACCCAGGCCCCCTTCATTGGGAGCACCGATTCTTAACCACTGCACCATCAGGGAAGTCCCGTTTGCAGGAAGATTTTTAATCACGGTTTCAATTTCATTACTTGTCATCGGTCTGTTCATATTTTGTATTTCTTCCTGGTTCAGTTTTGGAAGGTTGTACCTTTCCAACAATTTGTCCATTTCTTCCAGGTTGTCCATTTTTTTGGCATATACTTGCTTGTAGTAGTGTCTTATGAGGCTTTGTATTTTTGCGGTGTCAGTTGTAACTTCTCCTTTTTCCTTTCTAATTTTATTGATTTGAGTCCTCTCCCTTTTTTCTTGATGAGTCTGGCTAAAGGTTTATCAATTTTGTTTATCTTCTCAAAGAACCAGCTTTTTGTTTTATTGATCTTTGCTATTGTTTTCTTTGTTTCTGTTTCTGCTCTGATCCTTATGATTTCTTTCCTTCTACTGACTTTGGGTTTTCTTTGTTCTTCTTTCTCTAGTTGCCTTAGGTGTAGGGTTAGATTGTTTATTTGAGATTTTTCTTCTTTCTTGAGGTGAGATTGAATTGCTATAAACTTCCCTCTTAGAACTTCTTTTGCTGCATTCCATAGGTTTTGGAACATCGTGTTTTTGTTATCATTTGTCTCTACGTATTTTTTGATTTTCTCTTTGATTTCTTCAGTGATCTCTTGGTTATTTAGTAGTGTATTGTTTAGCTTCCATGTGTTTATGTTTTTTACAGTTTTTTTTTCCTGTAATAGATGTCTAATCTCATAGTGTTGTGGTCGGAAAAGATGCTTGATACGATTTCAATTTTCTTAAATTTATGAAGGCTTGATTTGTGACCCAAGGTGTGATCTACCCTGGAGAATGCTCCGTGTGCACTTGAGAACAGAATGTATTCTGCTGCTTTTAGTTGGAATGTCCTATAAATATCAGTGAAGTCTGTCTGGTCTAATGTGTTATTTAAGGCTTGTGTTTCCTTACTAATTTTCTGTCTGGATGATCTGTCCATTGGTATAAGTGGAATGTTAAAGTCCCCCACTATTATTGTGTTACTGTCAATTTCCCCTTTTATGGCTGTTAGTATTTACCTTATGTATTGAGGTGCTCCTCTGTTGGGTGCATAAATATTTACAATTGTTATATATTCTTGGATTGATCCCTTGATCATTATGTAGTGTCCTTCCTTGTCTCTTCTAACATTCTTTATTTTAAAGTCTATTTTGTCTGATATGAATATTGCTACTCCAGCTTTCTTTTGATTTCCATTTGCATGGAATATCTTTTTCCATCCCCTCACTTTCAGTCTGTATGTGTCCCTAGGTTTGAAGTGGGTCTCTTGTAGACAGCATATATATGGGCCTTGTTTTTTATCCATTCAGCCAGTCTGTGTCTTTTGCTTGGAGCATTTAATCCATTTACATTTAAGGTAATTATTGATATGTATTTTCCTATTATCATATTCTTAATTGTTTTGGGTTTGTTTTTGTAGGTGTTTTCCTTCTCTTGTGTTTCCTGCCTAGAGAAGTTCCTTTAGCTTTTGTTGTAAAGCTGGTTTGATGGTGCTTTATTCTTTTATCTTTTGCTTGTCTGTAAAGCTTTTGATTTCTCTGTCAAATCTGAATGAGATACTTGCTGGGTAGAGTAATATTGGTTGTAGGTTTCTCCCTTTCATCAGTTTAAATATATCTTGCCACTCCCTTCTGGCCTGCAGTGTTTCTGCTGAAAGGTCATCTGTTAACCTTCTGAGGATTCCCTTGTATGTTATTTGTTGCTTTTCCCCTGCTGCTTTTAATACTTTTTCTTTGTATGTAATATTTTTTTGTGTATTTAGTATGTGTCTCGGCATGTTTCTCCTTGGCTTTATCCTGTATGGGACTCTCTGTACTACCTGGACTTGGGTGGCTATTTCCTTTCTCATGTTAGGGAAGTTTTTGACTATAATCTCTTTAAATATTTTCTCAGACCCTTTCTCTTTCTCTTTGTCTTCTGGGACCTCTATAATTCAAATGTTGGTGCATTTAATGTTGTCCCAGAGGTCTCTGAGACTGTCCTCATTTCTTTTCATTCTTTTTTCTTTATTTTGCTCCTCAGCAGTTATTTCCACCATTTTATCTTCCAGCTCACTTATTCTATCTTCTGTGTATTTTTCATTTCAGCTATTGTATTATCACTGTTTGTTCTTTGAAAGTTCTTCTAGGTCCTGGTTAAACATTTCTTTTATCTTCTCAATCTGTGCCTCCATTCTATTTCCAAGATTTTGTATCATCTTTATTATCATTACTCCGAATTCTTTTTCAGGTATACTGCGTATTTCCTCATCATTCATTTGGTCTTGTGGATTTTTACCTTGCTTCTTCATCTACAACATATTTCTCTGTTGTCTCATTTTGTGTAACTTACTGTGTTTATGGTCTCCTTTCCACAGGCTTCAGGGTCGTAGTTCCTCTTGCTTCTAGTGTCTGCCCCCTGGTGGGTGAGGTTGGTCCAGGCACTTGTGTCAGCTTCATGGTAGGAGGGACTGGTGCCGGCACTCTGTTGATTGGAACTGAGTCTTTTGCCTCTGATGGGCTGGGCTGTGTCAGGTAGTGTGTTTTGGTGTGTCTGTGAGCTTAGTATGACTTTTAGGCAGCCTGTCTGCTAATGGGTGGGGCTGTGTTCCTGTCTTGCTGGTTGTTTGGTGTGAGGCATCCAGCACTGGAATCTGCAGGCAGTTTGGTGAAGCCAGGTCTTAGTGTCAAGATGGAGACCTCTGGGAGAGCTCATGCTGACTAATATTCTCTGGGTCCGGGAGTTTTCTGGTGGTCCGGTGTCCTGGGCTTGGCACTCTTATCCCAACCCCTGGCTGGGGAAGTGAGACCCCACAAGCTGCACAGCCAAGAAAAAGAATAAAAGAAAATAAGCAGACAAGCAAAACCCAAGACAAGTGATAAAAGCAAAACCAAACAGACAAACAGAAAAAAAGAAAATACAAACAAACAAAAAAACCCAAGAGAACAACCAAACAAACAAAAGAACCCCAAAACAAACAATAAAAAACTAACAAAAACAACAAAACAAAACAGAAAGCAAACTAAAAACAAAGATGGGGCTTCCCTGGTGGCGCAGTGGTTGAGAGTCCGCCTGCCGATGCAGGGGACACAGGTTCATGCCCTGGTCCGGGAAGATCCCACATGCCGCGGAGCGGCTGGGCCTGTGAGCCATGGCTGCTGAGCCTGCGCGTCCGGAGCCTGTGCTGCACAACAGGAGAGGCCACAACGGTGAGAGGCCCACGTACCGCCAAAAAAAAAAAAAGCAAAGATAACATAAAACAAACACACAAAGACGATTAAAAAAAAGAACAAAAGGAGAAACAAGAAAAAAAACCACACAACCACAATAAAGTAAAAATAGAAAAGTAAAAAATATATTTAAAAATTAAATAAAATTAAAACAGAAAACAACAACAGAACAAAGTGAAACAAACCAAAAAAGAGTGCTTGCTTCAGTAGTACATATACTAAAATTGGAATGATACAGAGAATATTAGTGTGGCCCCTGTGCAAGGATGACATGCAAATTCATGAAGCGTTCCATACTTTTTTGCTGTACAGTAGAAATTAAGACAACATTGTGAAGCAACTATACCCCATAAAAATTAATTTAAAAATAGAAAAACAATAGTAATAATAATATTTTCCTGAGGCCTCCACTCTCAGTGTCCTTGACCCCACAGTGAGCCACAGCCAACCCCTCCCTCCCCAGGAGGCCCTCCAATACCTCTAGGTAGGTCTCTGGACCTGCTGTGGGCCCTGTGGGAGCAGCTCAGACTCTGACCTGGCCCATCTCCCACATGTACTTGCCCTCAGCTGCTAAAGCTAGACTGGTCTCAGTTGTGGGAGCACATGTCCATTCAGATATTCCTCAGATGCAGGGTTTACCAAGCAGATCACAGGGATTTAATCCACAGCTCGTGCAACTGCACAGAGAGAATTCCGTTCCTCTTCCTTAGTAGCACAGCTCCTGGGGCTCAGCTTTGGTTTTGGTCCCACCTCTGCATGTGGGCTACCGTTAGGTGTCTTTTCCCCACCCAGGCGAGAGGTGGTGAAAGCAGCAGTGATTGAGGCACCCAGGCTGACTGGGGAACTTACTCAGGCTGTGGAGGGATCAGGCAGCCACAACTGGGTCGTGTAAAGTGTCTGCGGTGACAGAGACTGGCAGGAAGTTGCAACAGACTGGGACATGCTCGCTCTGGTGGGAGTCCCTCCCAGTGCCCGTGGAGGCAGGGGCCAGCGGTGGGGAAGGGGGTTGCAATGGTGGCTCCTCTCCTTGTGTGCCACTCAACAATGATACCTTGCTTCTATAGCAGCCTGGGTTTCTTCCAAAAACCTCCCCTGTTGTGGAGCTCCTTACTCCTGTCCCTTCAGGCTGTCTCTTCACAGCCAATCGCTGTCCTCCCCGGGTCCACTCTCCAAACCCCAGTTTCCAGCACCCAGCCCCCTCCACACCAGGAGACACGTGACTCAGGCTGGGGTGCGCAGGGCTGTGGCACGGACCATGTATGCAGTTCTTACTTTGTCCTGCCTTCCACAGACCGGTTGCTGTGTTCACCTCCAATTCCCCAAAGGTCCCTTTCTGCCCCAGCTGATTTTCCCGCCATGAATGGGCTTTTCTGAGTGCAGGAACCTCTCCCCACCTTGATTTCCCCGCCAGGGATGCTGGCCCTTCTCATTTCTTTTCTTCTGTTTTTTCTTTCTTTCTCAAGTTCCAAAAAATCAATCCACTCTCTACAATCAGATGTAAAACTATGACCAACAGAAAATACAACATAAATTTTTGTCATGTTAACAGAGTAAATGGTTTTACTAAAAGCTGCTGACATTTCTATCAGTAGTAGCCATAGGGAGGCCGTTGGTTGTGACCATAGTGTCCATATTGATGGGGATAGTAAGGTTCTTGTCTGTGCTGTGAGTAATTGTTACCCCAGGTTTGTCCATGCCATTGATGGATCGATTGTCACCTGGCCACCCCCGTCTGCTATCCCTGCCTCTAAACTGTCTGTTATCTTGCAACTGATTGCCTCTATTTCTTTGGTTCCCACCAGCTCTGCTATTCCATCCCTCAACAATTGGAGGGAACTCAGGAGGGCGTTTCAGGTATTCCTGGTACTCTTTGTCATCTTCTATGAATCTACTGGCAAACATCTCTTCAAAATTTGTAACAGCTTCAGAAGTGTCAGTCATTCTGAAATTCCCTGGGATTTGAGGCAGCTGTACTGTTTAATGTTTATATTGTTTAGATCTCCATCCCAGAACACCGTCACAGGACCTCCAGACCCCTTCAGCTCTCCAGGGTAACAGGGCCACACCTGTAGATATATTCTTGATGTACTTGTAAGGAAGGGTGAATTCCGCATCCTCCTATTCTGCCATCTTGATTCCTCACTCCTACAGTTTCTTCTTAGCACAGAGACCAGAGGATCCTTTCAAAGTGTAAATCATATTATATTAGTCTTTGGTGGCTTTTTATCTGACTCAGAGCCTAAGCCAAACTTAAGAGGACTTAACCTGGCCCCATGCCCCTGGGGCCCTGGGCCTGGCCTCTCTGACCTCACCTTGTACCATCACCCATCCTTCCCACACCAGGCTGGGCTGCTGCCTAGCATGCTCACCCTTCAGAGACACCCAGCCTTGCCTCTCTCCTGCTGATGCTCCCTCATCATGTCCTTCCCTGGCTTTATTCTTTTCCACAGCACTAGTGTCATTGGGCACCCTATGTATTTTATTGTTAATTTATTTGTTTGTCTCCCCCAACTAGAACATAAATTCCAGGAGAGCAGGTACTGTATGAAGATTGGATGAGTAAAAATAAAAACAACAACAAAACAAAAATTAAAAAGAAAGAATGGATGAGTAAATGCTGTTATTATTTCATTACGAGAGAGGCCCACATTTATTTAGGGCTGAAGTTGATCACAACATAAAGTGTCTCCATTCCCCTCCCCACTCCCCATGCACATACATAGCTTAAGGATGCTTATGGATAACTTCGGAAGGCTCCAGTATAAGGGTTGGGAGTCATAGGCAGCACTGAATTAGGTGAAGCTGATTATGAAAGTTCAGCCTCTCTGTACACCAGTGCCAAATTGAATCTTGGAGACAGAGTTTTGGGTGAAGTAGAAAAGGATAGCTTTATTGCTTTGCTGAGCAAAGGGGGACACAGCGGGCTCCTGTCTTGAAAAACCATGTGTCCCCACCTGGGAGGATTTGATGAGGAGTTTATAGCAATAGTTCAAGGGTGGGGTTGCTGACAAGATGAGGGTGTGTGCAGGGTCTCAGGTGATCTCCTAATCTTGATGAGCTTCTCTGGTCTTTAATCTGGCCTCAGGTGGTTTCTTGGCTGCTCCTCCCTTGATTAGCAGCAGTTCAAATCTGCCCTTTGGAACTCAGGGAAGGTTATGGAGGCCGGAGTCTTGCTCACAAGAAACGGGGGACAGAAAAGTCTCCATGCCTGGGAGCCCCACAGGGTCCTCCTCAGTTTCAAAGCCTGAATTTAGCCCCATAGCATGTTCAGTGTTGGAGGAGGAGATTGTCAGATTTCCTCTGCCTCCCAAAAGAAAAGTCAAAATGTGTAACTGATGGAGACACGGCAGAACTGTCAGCCATTTAACATGTGCAAAGTGGGACTTCCCTGGTGGTCCAGTGTCTGACTCCGCGCTCCCAATGTAGGGGGCCCGGGTTTGATCCCTGGTCAGGGAACTAGATCCCACATGCCACAGATAAGAGTTCTCATGCCGCAACTAAAGATCCTGCGTGTTGTAACTAAAGAAAAGATCCCCCATGCTGCAACAAAGATCCCGGACGCGGTGACAAAAATCCTGCACGCCGCAGCTAAGACCCAGCGCAGCCAAATAAATAAATAAATATTTAAAAAAATATATTGTGGGGCTTCCCTGGTGGCGCAGTGGTTGAGAGTCCGCCTGCTGATGCAGGGGACACGGGTTCGTGCCCCGGTCCGGGAAGGTCCCACATGCCACGGAGCGGCTGGGCCCGTGAACCATGGCCGCTGAGCCTGTGTGCCCGGAGCCTGTGCTCTGCAACGGGAGAGGCCACAACAGTGAGAGGCCTGCGTACAGCAAAAAAAAAAAAAAAAAATATATATATATATATATATATATATCATGTGTAAAGTAAGTTATAGACTCTTGTGCAGCGGCTTAAACTCTGTCGCTTCTGTCAAGGCAAACACACACACACAGATGAGTCACCCGCCTCTGTGCTTTTGGAGTCCCAGTTCTTAAGAGTACTGAGCCTTAACCTAAAAGAGAGTTTCAATTTCTGGAATCAGGGCAGGTAGGAGAGAGATTTGGGGATTTGCCTGTCTGCTGTCCTTGAAAAGCATCCTGTTTAGGTTTCCCACCCCCACACCTTCTCACACTCCCCTCCCCTCCCCACCCCGGAGCTTGACCTTTCCCAGTGGAACTGTCCTTAGTGTCCATCTCCCGCCTTTTGCCCGTGGCTGTGCCTGACCCTCTGCAGCACTCCCAGCACTCCCGCTGGGCTGCACACAGTCCCCCAAGGAAGGTTCTGTGCCTGGGCATTTCTCTCTGCGCAACAGCGTTCTGGAATGTCTTAGAATGGGTGAACAATGATTGCTTCTGTTTGTGGAGGGCTTGCTGCCCATCAGGTTCTGTGCTGCTGGGCTCCACGCTTAGTGTTTCACAAACCTTTGCCACTTTCCATTTTTACCACAAACCTGAAAAATGGAAATTAGCCCTATTTTATACCTGAGGACATGAGGCTTAGAGAAGTTAGGAAACTTGCCCAGTGTCACTAATTAAATGGCAGAGCTGGGGCGAATCCAAAGGCAGCATTTTAAGTCATACTTTGAGACAAGTTTGCTTTTTTCTAACCTGGAAAGTAACCAAGGGGCTGATACCCATGGGACAAGGAGCTGCTGGAAATAAATGTAGGCAAGTTTGTTAGCTTGATAGAGCAAACAACTCATTTTGGGAGGGGGTAATTTTAGGGAGGAATATTAGGTTTTGATACTATATTATTCAGACTTAAATATTTTCAAAAATTTTCTTCGGCTGTACACCCGGCCACTCTAGTACTTTTGTAGGTTATGCCATTTATTACTGACAATACTCGTGACTGTTTTAAAAATGGACCAGATCACCCAGAGGTTCCTGTGAACTAAGTGGAAATGGTATGTTTGAGCCATGATGGGAGCAAGGATTATGCTGGGGTCAAATGGGAGGCAGCCATCCGTTTATTTAACAGCCCACATCTGAGAGTTTATGCTAAATGGAAATAACTGGGCTCAGGTTTATCCACCACAAAAGGACTTCATTCTGACATCAGTAGGAGATGCTTACATGGAAAGCTGTTTATTTTGTTGTAAACATTCTAGATCTGCCTTTGGTGAGAAGATTTTCTACATAGTAAACTTAGGTTGTCACTGGTAATCTGGCCGTTACCAAGCCATGAACTTGAGATGGACAGCCTTAACCTCTGGGGGAGTCACTGCCCTGAGTGCCCAGCCAATGGGCTCTGCGCTGACCATCTTCCACCACGTGTTTCTCAGACTGTCCAGGAGCC